TTCAAACATGATGATTGTCAAAAGCCCATCTCTCTATACACTCATGAACCAGGAGGTGTTCATGGCTGAAACGAACACAATCGTAAGAACCATAAATGGTAAAGGGTTAATTGTGTGACATATGGTTGTCTAGGTATACACCAAAGCTCGATGGTTTAAAGATATCGCATCTACCGATTGACTGAGTATATCCGACATATGTTCCCTACGAAAAGTCCAAGGGGAAACCTACTTATCCAGATGCAATTAATTCTTGCTTGTAAAGTACACATACTTGTCCCTTTTTTTTTGTCTTGGAGTCATTCCTCATTCACGTGGGGGATTGTTGGGTTTTAAAAGGTGTGAATGGAAAATGAAGAGTTGCGACTTTTATGAAGAGTTGTTACTTTTATGAAAAGTTGTGACTTTTATGAAAGGTTGTGACCTTTCAGAAAGATTGTGACTTTTCCAAAGGTTTGTGAACTTTCCGGTAAGGCACAATAAGAACATTTTCACACTATCCTTTGTTTTCTATAAATTAAGGGATTTCCTCTCATTTTAGTAGAACTAATTTTTCTGGACTTCTTCTACTACTACCATAATCTAGTATTCTAAGTGTACTTTACTGCCGTTGAGTTGTTCGCTGACACCGTGATTTTAGGTACCGATACACCGGTGAATAAGATCGTTCTATCTTGGGAGGATATATTCCATTAACCTCGGGTACTTGAGGGGAATAATTTCCTTAAGGGGACATTGTGCATTCAGTGGGCTTGATTTTCTTCTTTAAGAAAAATATTTTGTATATTATTTCTAATCTGTTTCTGGTTCTATTTTCTCTACTGGTTTTAATTTTCTAGTTTTGAAAATGCTCTTTAAACTTTGTTGTTACGTACTAAGTTCTTCAAAGTTTTGTTCTAGTATCTTAGGTATACAAGATGAACAACAAGTGTGAAGAGACATTGAGAAGAGAACTATGGGACAACTTAAGGGCCACTGCCAACAACATAAATGGTCCATGGGGCATGGTCGGTGACTTCAATGTCATCACCAAACCAGAAGAAAAATTAGGATGAAGACCATTTAGATTTGAAGAAAGTTTGATTTTTGTGTCATGTTTGACTGACTGTAATCTTCAAGATGGGGGTTTCCTGGGGTCTATATTCACTTGGAGTGATAATAGAATCCCCCCAAATACAATATGGAAAAGTTTAGATAGGTTAGTCTACAATGCTGAATGGTTTGACGAGTATGGGGGCACTCTGTCACTCACCTTTCAAGGACCTGTTCTGACCATCCTCCTAGGCCTGCAACAACAACAATACCAACCACGTGAAATATTTCAAATTTCTTAACATATGGACTAATCACGATGACTTCCTGACTATTGTCTAACAAGCTTGGGATGATGAACAATCAGGCAATCCTTTGCATGTCCTTCATCAGAAGATTAAGAAAGTCTGCAATAATCTTAGTTCTTGATCTAGATCAGCTTTCAGAGATTTTTATGGTGAATCAAAAAAGCTTGAAACTCTAATAAGAACTCTAGAAGAAGATTCTAATAGTATTAACAACCAGGAGACTAGAGAAAAGCTTTTTAAAGCTAGAGCTGATTTCACCAATTCATTACGCTCCAAGATAAGGTATTAAGACAGAAAGCTAGAGTCTAATGGTTGCATGAAGGTGATGCCAACATTGCTTTTTTCCATTGAATTGTCAAACACAGGAGGAGAAAACTCACCATCCACAAAATTAAAGATACTGAAGGTAATTGGGTGGAGGGTAACTTTGAAGTGGCCAATGCCGATGTAAAGTACTTTGAAAATCTCTTCAGTTCTAAGGAGGTACTCAAAGATGACAATGTATTAAATGTTGTTAGAAGGGTCGTGAGTGAAGATGACAACAAGGATATTACTGTTATTCCTACTATGCAAGAGGTGAAAGATAGTGTATTTTCTATAAACCATGATAGTACCCCAGGACCGGATGGTCTCAGTGGCAAATTCTTTCAAAGTGCTTGGAATATTATTGCTAATGGCATGCATAAAGTCATTACCTATTTCTTTTGAGGTGCTACTTTGCCTAAATTTTTCACCTATACTTGTGTTGTCCTGCTCCCTAAAACTAAGTGTCCTCAAACCTTTTCTGACATCAAGCCCATTAGCTTTTGCAATGTGTCAAACAAGATCATTGCCAAGCTTCTCAATGCCAGGATTGGTAGTATTCTCCCCAAAATTATCAGTCAGAACCAAAGTGGCTTTGTAAAAGGGAGAGCTATTTCTGACAACATTATGCTCACTCAAGAAATTGTTAATGATATTAGAAAACCAATGCAGAGATTGTTGTGATTAAATTAGACATGACTAAAGCATATGGCAGAGTTTCTTGGCCATTTTTGTGCTTTATGCTAAGGAAATTGGGTTTTGCTGAATCATGGATAGACCTTATCTATAGGTTTATTTCCAATAACGGGTACACTATACTAGTTAATAGGAGTAGACATGGTTTTTTCAAATCAGGAAGAGGTCTCACACAGGGAGATGCTTTGTCTCCTTCCTTCTTCATCCTTTGTGCCGAACTATTGTCCCTTATGCTTAATGCTCTTCATCACAATAATAGGTTCAAAGGTTTTTACATGAACAATCAAGGTCCAAAGGTTAACCATTTGACCTTTGCTGAAGATCCTATTGTTTTTAGTAATGACTCTCGATCTTCTTTAAATTTGATTCTTAACACTTTAACTATGTATGAAAAGGTCTCTAGGAAATCTATTAATAGCAGTTTCTCTTTGGCTCGTTTGAAAATTCTTCTATAAAATATTTGGGGTGCCCCATTTATGTTGAAAAGAAAAAAAGTTGAATTCTTCTCTGACATAGTTGCTTAAGTCGTGAATAAGATTAGAGGATGGCATCTCAAGTTCCTAAGCTCTGTAGGCAAGGCCATTCTTATTAGGCATGTCCTCCAGGCCCTCAATGTTCATACTTTAGCTGCCACTCACCCATCCTAAAGGTTCAATAGATTTGACTGAAACTTTCATTGCTAGATTATTTTGGTTCGGAAATGAGAATGGTGGGAAACATCATTCGGTCTCTTGGGAAAACCTTTGTTTTCCCTATGAGGAAAGGGGTTCTAACTTCAGAAATTTATCGGATACTTTCAAAGGTTTCACCGCATGGTGAAAATTGAGGACTTCTAACTCTATATGGGCTCAGTTTATGAAATCTAAAACTACAATAATGAGCACCCCATCAATGTTACCTGGAAACTTGGTCAATCACATAGCTTAAAAGCAATGTGCGAGATTAAGGATTCCATAGTGGAATTCATCAAATGGAGAATAAAAGGGGGAAATTGCAATTTTTGGTATGATAACAGATCAGTTCATAGACCATTATATCGTACAATTGATGAAAAGTTTATTTACCATAATATTATGATTAATGAGATCTATAAAGATGGACAATGGGATTGGAGTTGTCTAATGAACCAACCCCCAATGTCTATCAAGAGCTCCATCGATAACCTTTCTCTTAAGCTTATTCACAATGGGAAAACTACCCCTATCTGGACACTTTCTGAGACGGAAAGTTTTATGTTTCCTCTGCGTGGAAGCTCTTGATACATAAGAGAATTAAAGCTCATTTTGAATCTAATATTTGGCAAAAACAAGTGTCGTATAAGATGTCATTCATCACATGGAGAGATATTCACAATAGACTTTCCACAGATGATAAGGTTTCTAAATTTGGCATTAACATTGATACTAATTGTAGTTGTTGTACGATTGCAGGTATGACACCAACTAGGGAGAATGTTGAACATCTTTTTATAGTGGAGAATTTGCACAAACAATGTGGCAAAGGTTTGCAGGGTGGTTAGGCATCAAATATAGAAGCAGAACTCTTAGAAGTGTTTTAATCGAATGTTGGAATTTCAAGGCCAAAAATTATGTGGCTGCATATATCCTTAAGATTATGCCACCTATAGTGATATGGGAGCTATGGAGGTCCAGGTACTGCTCCAAATATGATTTAGAAAAGCCTTTTATCAATAGATCCAACATTCTAATTACTTTCAACATTTGTCAACTTATCAAAGCTAGATTCAAAGGCATCCTAAGTGAAAGTTGGGAAGACATTTGTTTGATTTTTGATTAAAAAAAATATGGCTGATAAGATCGTCAGAGTGGTCAAGTGGATTAAACCCTCCACCCTGTTACCGATGGATCTTGCATTAATGGAACTTGTGGTGGGGGAGGTGTACTTAGGGATTATCAAGGAAGAGTCATCATGGCCTTCAGCTTGCCCCTAGGCCATGGAACCAACAACCAAGTTGAATCCGTCACCCTCCTTTTTGGTTTGAAATGGTGCATAGTTAATAGTTTCAGTTCTATCATTGCTGAGGTAGACTCTTTATTGCCACTGAATTGCACCATCGATGTCTGGGCAATCCCTTGGAGAATCGAAGACACGATCAAAGAGATAAAGAATCTAGTAGGCATACATGATTTTCCTATTCAACATTGCTTCAGGGAAGCTAATAAAGTTGCTTACAAATTAGCTTCCCTAAGTTACTCACTTACTCATGTACAAGTCTACTCTCACTTCAACACCATCCCTAGAATAGTGAAAGGGATTCTCAACTTAGATAGGTGGGAATACCCTTCCTTTAGAGTCATAAAGCGTAGAGCAAATACTTTGAGTTTTGATCCCCCTTGAACCCCTCTAATTGTGCTAGTGCTTGTTTAGCTTAGATCTTTTGTGCACTCATGTGTTTGGTTTGACTATGTAACCAAACTCTCAAGAAGGTATGGCCTAGCCCTGCTTCTTTAAATGTAATTTCTTTCTCAATGACATATATATATGGTTTATAAAAAAAAAACTACGACGCTATGATTTTAATTAAATTGGGGTTGACTATATGAATCCTTACAGAGTATGTAGCTCTATCAAAAAATGTGTAGATGAAATGTAGCAATTTTCAAAACAATAGATTAACAGGAAAACAAATTGTTGTCGCTCATGACAATGCCAACACAAGAAGAAGAAGAAATCAGAGAAGAGCGTTGTCGAGATGGATATTGTATTGTTGCTCATTCTAGGTTAGTAGTTGTAATTTTAATATGAGGGGTAAGGGTCGGGATTCCAGTATTATTTTTATCTCACATTGAGGGGAAATAACAATTCCATGATAACTCACTAAGCCAAATATGAATTTTAGTGACAATAGCTTAATTGTCACTAAATGTGTTCTTTTAGCTGCAATATAGCGACATTGGATTTAATGGAAATTAACTGATGCAGGTAAAAACTATAACACTCTATGTTAATGTGTATATTTATTGCCATTAAAACTTGTTTTTGTTGTAGTGTCTTGTTTCCTAACAAAACTAAGCCCGAGATGCTAGGTGTTTTGAATCTCATCTAATTTTTTCTTCGGGCATATGCAAGAGGGGGTCACCGGATTCACGTGAACCCATGCTCCCTCCCGAGATCATATACATCAGTGTCATATTTTTAATTTTTTTTGCTAAATATAGATGTGTGAACCCACACCCTGAAGTATCATGTAATGCGATGATGATTTGGTGCACCTCTCTCCATGAGGTTAGAAATTTGAATTTTATATCTACCTTGTTTAATTTTTCTTGTTTTTTTAAAAAATTACATAAATAGCTATAATAAGAAACACAATAGGCCTCCTTAACTATAGTTTACCTATTTACGCATCATAGTTATAATTTAAATAGCTACAACGATTTTGATTTGTATATTTCGGCCTTTTTATAATTAATTACACAAAAGGTTGTTTAAGTATATGTAACTAATTGTGTGGTAAATAAGGAAAACAATACCTTAATTAAAGGTCATTTAGTTTAATTAGAATATGTTATCAAATATGTCTTCTTCTTCTTGAGGAAACACAGAGTATTCATTGTTTTCATTCTATCAAAGCGCCTTTAGAAATATAATGGAAGTAATTGATTTTCTTGTGGCTTAAATAACGAAAGATGAACACAACAATCTATCCATTACGAGTTGTATTTTCTTCCAACTACATTCAATTTATATGTATTTGATATATTACTTGGTTAATTCGTGTGTAATTAATTCCGGATCTCTAAATACAAAATCATTACTATATAAAAAATGGAAAACATAATATCATCACATGGAAGAATATCATGTGTTTGTAAATTTTCCTTTGGTATTATGTCTGTTTTTTTATTTGGAGAAAATTAAATTTAGTAGATGAAGGTATTTATAGAAGGGGACTATCGGTTGTTCTGATAAAAAAAAAAACGATTCGTGCTTGTATTAGGATTAAATATATTATTAGTAATAAATATTTTCCTTTAGCAGCTTGCATTAGGATTAAATTAAGGGATATATATATATATATATATATGCACTAGAATTTATTGCTCATAACTAATTAAGGACACATAGGTAAACATTTTATGAGCGTACATGTAATTTCTTCTTTTCTAAAATAATTATGTACTAAAAGTGATAAACTGCACTAATTTATTTTTATACGTTAATCAAGTGGTATAGAATATTAAAAAATGACGGATTTGGTCTATCAACTAAATTAATTATTTAAAAGAATATCCGTCAATTAAATAACCATAGTTAAGCTAATAGTTTAAAATTCTCATTTAAAATATTTTAAGTTGTCAATTATCATGATTTATAGTATTTTAAAACAATTTTAAATATATAAAAGACTAAAAATAAGACAAACAAATTAAAACAGAAAACTATCGAAAAATTATGGGAATGCTCTTGAAGTGCCAAAACAGACATGTTGACCTGTTGCCTACTTTGACACTTAAAATTCCCTCTTATAAAATATTCCTCTAATCCATATTAACTGAATTTCTAAGGTAATGCACATATTAAGAAAAATCAATAAAGGGCAAAATTTGAACCATATTTTTATGTATCCTTTTGTTTCTCCCCAAGTCATTACTAAAAAAAGGTTTGAATTTCGACTTTAATAATTACTACTCTCTCTGTCCAACAATAGTTGTCCACTATTGACTTGACACACCCCTTAAGAAACTATAAATAGAAATATAATTTTACTATATCACCCTTTGAATATAATAAATTTAATGTCTTGAAAAATGTAATATGGAAATGACTATAATTAATTATAAAGATAAATTAGGACCTAAGTGTAAAATTATCCATGAATTTCATAAATTGGACAAGTATTGTTAGACATCTATTTTTAGTAAAATATTGTTGCACGGAGGGAGTACTAATTACAACAAAAGTTAAGGAGTCCATTTGATTCTCAATATTAGATTTTCAAGCTTAAAAGTGAAATCATAAACCTATATATTGGAGTATAACTTTGTAAATAGTATAGTTTAACTTCTACAAAATATCAAACTTCATTAAAGAAAAGGGTAAATATGAAAAAAGAAAAAATCAAATATTTCTCTTGAACTTTGAACAATTCAACTGTTTTAAACAAAAAAGCTCTTGAAATTCAATTAATATGGAATGAAGGGAGTAGTAAGTATTACTATCTAAGAAGAGGGAATAAGCACACAGTTGACCATCAACATGTCAACTTTTGGTTTGAGCTTGACATATTATATACGGAAAATGGTCAAAATGACCCTCGAACTATTTAAAATCGCTCATATATACCCTTTAATTATGTTTGAGATCAAAACCACCCTTGCCATATATGTTTTGAACCACAAATACCCTTAAAACGTTATCTTTGCCGCTAACATGACAGTCCTTCCAGGCAGTGCAACATGGTTAAAATATCTTCCTGTCAATAATGTTGTTCTTCCTTGTTCATCTCTATCACAAAAAGAAAATCAAAATATAATTATTCCATTATTCCTGTTTGAGTTGTTGTTCGGACTTGGGAACTCCAATTTCAAAGTGTGATGAAGTTTGTTTGAGATTGTAATTGTGTGTTGAAGGATCAAGTTCATTGTTTTGGATTTTGGGGTCATAGATTCACAAAATCGATTTTTAGAATTTCAAGCTTTTAAGAACTCTTTCATATACTTTTTTTGGAATTTCAACTCAAATCTCAAAACTAAAAAATCAGTTGTTAAATGTTAATTTACAGCCTCCATTGTAATATTTAAACACTTTTTAGTAACATTCAGTTAAATCTCTTTAAATTTCTGCACTTCAAAAACCCAACAAAGACTAGAAATTTCTTCACCAACAAGCTTTCAAATGAGTGACTATTTTCGAGTTTCAACACAAAAAAAATTAAAGATCCATAGGGCTTACGCCCCACGTCTCGAGGCTTATGCCTCACCCTATACTAAGTAAAACGCCACGACTCACGTCCCTGCTTTTTAAAACACTGATTAGACCACAACTTTTTTAATACTCTGGGTCAAGTCAAACAACATTATATAAATTAAGATGGAGGACGGTTATATTTACATTGCAACAAATTTATTCTAATAATTAAATAAACTTAATTGTTTCCAAACAACAGGGTAGGATATATGTGATGCTGCTGTAAGAGAGGTACATGAAGAAACTGGAGTAAGTTCAATAAAATTAATTAATTAAGTTTCTAACAATTACTTATAATTTCATCTTTTATTTAATTATTAATAATTTTTGGTTTTATTATGAATTTCATCAGATCAAAATAGAATTTGTAGAGCTACTTGAATTCAGGTTAATCTCACGTGCCTTTTAATTCTTTAATATATGAACATTTTTTAATTAAGGATATTGTGAATTCATAACTATTTCATTTTCTTTATCTAAATAATTATTTACATGACTAAAATTTATTATTTGTATTATTACAGGCAAAGTCATAAATCATTCTTTGTTTGCATGCTTAAACCACTCTCTTATAACATCCAGAAGCAAGATTCTGAAATCGAGGGAGCCCAGGTTGGTACGTAGACCTTATTTGTTTTTATTAAGATTGATACGTTTAAATTTTGTTGTACATCTGAATATTAAGATGTCCATTGCGATTTAGAAGTCTGAATATGAATATATTAAAATGTATGTTGCATTAAGAACTGGATACCAAATAGTTAACGCTATTTGTTTTCTCAATATTTGAGTGTATAAAATTAGTCTTTAGTTAAAAAATAATAAATATAAAATTCAAATAAAATATTAAATTGATCAAATATTTTATCAATAAAATATTTTAAAAATTTTATATGGAAATTTGTGATGGTAATGACTAACGATGGTGATTATGTGTGTCGATTTAGAATGATATTGACTAATAATGATGATTGTAGATAATATCTTATAATATAGTGATTAAGAGTCGTGGCTCTACTACGTACACCACACATAAAGTTTAGTGACTTTATTGAGGCAAATATTAGTTATAGTACTTTATAAGTAAAATTTAGTGATAGCAAATTTTCATTAGTTCAATATTTTTAGTAGGGACATTTCGTAGGTAAAATTAAGTATGATTGGATTTTAATTAGTTTAATTATTAATAAACTATAATTTAAGTTTTATTAATGCCAAAAAAGATTTCTTAATTATTGAATAATTTTATTCTTTTGTAATATTTGCAGTGGATGGCTATTGAGGAATATGCAGCACATCCTTTTATAATGAAGCATGAAATGTTCAATAAAATAGCAGAGATTTGCTTACCAAAAAAAGAGAACAAATACAATGGCTTCTCCAAAGTGCTTATGACTTCTGCATTTTCTACTAAGAGGACTTATTTGTACTACAATCAAAACTAATAGAGATGGAGATAGTATTTGAAGTTTATAGATTCTGAATTTGCCATTAAAATTATAGCTCGTCTTAATTAGTATATGGTTTTGTAATTAATATGTATACTTATTTTTTGAATTCTATATAATAAAAGTTACTGAATTCGTCTAATTTTGTGACATATGAGCTTAATGGGAGTTTTCTTAATCTTTTGTATAATTGATCAAATATTCTTTGTTCAAGAGAATTAAATTACCATTTCTTTGTCTCGCTTAATTTTCTCTATTTGTTATTCTTGTTACAAATGTTGAAGTTCTCGATAAGTCAAATTTGGCTTTGCAAAAGAGTCCATTTTTTAAAATAAATAAATAAATCAATCGTTACGTATGGCAATAACAAGAATACTCGCATGTTAGCATAACCTGCCCCCTGAGTTTGGCCATGGCCAGAGGGAGGAGAAGGGGGCGAGGACGAGGCCGGAAACTGCAACTACGATCAATAGGAGCTGGAGTAACACCACCAGCGATATCTCAGACAAAGGGGAAACAGGCAATAGCAATGACCCCTCCAATGGAACAGTGCTCTTCGAATAATGTGAATCTACTGGTGAGTACAACGACACCGCCTCTAGAAGTGGCTAGGACTCTCAATCTGATGAATACACCTCAATCCTCCATCCATGCTGAGATGGGTAGGGTTTTACCACATGACCTTCCTGATCCACACGAGGGAGCTGAAGAACAGACGGAGGGCGTGAAGGCATGGACCAACCTCTTCGCTGGGAACCGAAATGCTGAGAATGGAATGACTCTTTCCTACATCCCACCGGATCTAGTGAATGGAACGACAGTGGTCACTTTGGAGCAATCTGAGGTTGATAAGGAAATAGATAGATCGAGCAGTGCTCTAATTATCTATGTTGTAGGAGATACACTTGGGTATAACTATTTGCGAAGATCCATTAGTTCAATGTGGGTGGATGTGAACAAACTTGAATTGTTCTACCATGAGGAAGGGTACTATATCACTAGATTCCAGTCAAAGGAGGACATGAAAAGATCTTCCATGCTGGTCCGTACTCCATAAACAATAGACCTTTGATCCTCAAACCATGGACGCCTGAGTTTGATCTAAATGCACTCTAAGATACCTCTATGGGTCACATTTCCAAAGCTACCCATGACTTACTGGAGTTGCAACTCCCTCGGTAGAATTGCTAGTGCGATAGGTGTTCCATTATATGCTGATGAATGCACACTAAACAGACGATAATATCCTGTGCAAGGATGTTGATACAAGCAAATGTCACTAAACCTCGTCCTACTAAGGTTATGATTTGTGATGGGAAGGGGAGAAATTTCAACATGCTGTAGAATATGATTGGAAACCTGAATTTTGAAGTATGTCAACAAATTGAACATATATAAACAACAAGTGGAACCTGACCAGTTTGAACAACCTAGGAGGAGGAGGAGAGCTAGAAGAGCCCCACTTGCAAATGAACCATGACAACAAGGAGCTGCACATAACAGATTTGCCCCAATATGGAAAGCTAAAGAGGACAATCTGATAATGACTAATGAAGAGAATGTGATACCTCAACAACAACAGAGTAGTGAAGCAAGAGCTACAAATTCTACCACTCAATCCCAGCAGATACATCAAAGCCTAGACTCAGCTTGATGTAGCTCACAAGGCGAGGGGAAATTAAAGCAGATAGAGCAGACAAAAGATGGAGATCAGTTGAGCCATATGCCTCCTGTAGTGAACCTGGTGGTTCAAACTCCTACGTTGCATTGCCCTAGAGAATTTCCAATGTTGTCAGCTTCAAGGGGGAAGAATAAGAATTGGAGTAGTGTGGATGAAGAGAAAAGGTCCATAACTCCTACCGAAGGGTCTTCGTATCAAGTTTAATCATGACCTGGTTAATATGGAATATTCGGGGGATTAATAAGAGATATAAACAAAAGGAACTGGTGAACTATATGAAAAGGAAACATATCAAGCTAGCATGTTTCCTAGAAACTAGAGTCAAAGAAAATAAAGTGAAACAGGTTAGTAGCAACATCTATAGGGGGTGGGGTTTGCAATGCAACTACCAACACGCTTATAATGGTAGAATATGGTTAGCCTGGGACGACACTCTGTATGTTATAAGGCTCATTAAAGTAGATGCTCAACTAATCCATGTTGTAATAAAAGAGAGAACCTCTGATTTTGAATGTGGCCTGACTGTGGTGTATGGGTTCAATACCCTGGAGGCCTGGAGCAAAGGAAAACTCTGTGGAGTACCCTTAATGATCTGACCTGTAATATTCACTTGCCCTGGATAATCAATGGTGACTTTAATGCAATGTTGCATCCTCAAGACAGATTGTTTGGAGCTCCTGTAACCCCGGCAGAGATCAAGGACTTTGCTAAATGTGTACGTAACTTGTTACTTAATGAACTTCCATGAGAGGGACCTTACTACTCTTGGTCTAATCGACAACAGGGATCTGATAGGGTATGTTGTAGACTGGATAAAGCCCTTGGAAATGATTTATGGATGATGAAATGGGGTCATATTTATGTTGAATATGACTGCCCCTTGTTTTCTGATCACTCTCCTTTGCTCATTACTATTAAAATACCTATTTGGAAGCCTAAAATTCCCTTTAGGTTCTTTAATGTATGGGCTGAACATGCAGAGTTTGTTGACCTCGTTACTGAGAGTTGGACTGAGAATACTAGTGTTGACAACATGAAGAACATATGGATGGAACTTAAAAAGCTTAGAGTGGGACTTAAAAACCTTAACAAAAAAGAGTTTATGGGAATAAGGCATACTATTGAAAAGACTAGGTCTGATTTACAGGTTCTTCAGGAAATTAATGCAGTTCAGTACTCAGACCAACGGATGGATCAAGAAAGGGAGATGCTAGTACAACTAGAAAAGTGGAGCCTAATTGAGGAAAGTGGCATGCGACAGAAATCTAGAATTCACTGGATGAAGCTGGGAGATCATAATACTCAATATTTCTCATCAGTGGTTAAGGAGAGAGGGCACAAGAAGCAAATCTATGAATTACAATCTCTATGTAGGCAAAAGATAACTCATCCTACAGAGATCAAAACAGAAATTATCAACTTCGACAAGGGATTAATGGGATCCTCTGCTCACAAACTACCAGCTATTGATCGAACTATCATGAGATGTGGGCCACAGTTAACACATGAACAACAACTTGCTCTATGTGATGAGGTTACAGAACTGGAAATCAATCAAGTCTTTGGTCCATTGGAGATGATAAAGCACCTGGTGTGGATGGATATAATGCCTTCTTTTTCAAGAAGTCATGGCCTATAATCAAACATGACATAGTACAAGCTGTTCAAGATTTCTTCTCCACTGGAAAGTTATACAGAGCCATAAATTGTACTGTTGTGACATTGGTGCCTAAGCTCGAGTGCCCTTCTACTGTGAAAGACTTCAGGCCAATAGCATGTTGTACAGTGATGTACAAGATTATCGCTAAGATACTGGCAGCTATGTTGCAAAAAGTAATTGGTTCCATCATTTGCAATGCTCAAGCTGGATTTATCCCTGGGAGGCAATTGGCTGATAATGTGATACTAGCACATGAGCTTGTCAAAGGATATGCTAGGAAACACATAACCCCAAGAAGCATGATTAAAATTGACCTCAAAAAAGCCTATGACTCAGTTGAATGTATCTACTTGGAGTAAGTAATGGAGAACGTGGGATTTCCAAACAGATTTATGAGATGGATTATGGAATGTGTGACAACCGTTAACTACTCAATAATTGTTAATTGTAAACTAACTCCTCCTTTTGATGCTGTTAAAGGGCTTAGACAAGGGGATCCTATGTCTCCTTTTCTATTTGCTATTTCTATGGAATACTTGAGTAGAGAGCTGAATACCCTAACAAAATCCCCAAATTTTGCACATCATCCCAGATGTGCTAAGCTTGGAATAACTCATCTTAGCTTTGCTGACGACCTACTTCTTTCTGCTAAGGGTGACTTGCCTTCTGTTACGGCTATTCAACAGGTTTTCAATAGATTTTTTGCATCCTCTGGACTACAAGCAAACTTGGATAAAAGCTCGGTATATTTTGGAGGGGTATCATTGGCTGTTAAAGACCAAAGCTTGTCTCAACTTGAGTTTACTCAAGATGAAATGCCGTTTAGATATCTAGGTGTACCTCTGTCAACCAAAAAGATGTCCCTCCTACAATGGCACCCACTCGTTGATAAGATGGTTGCAAGAATCTCATCTTGGACTGCGAAACATCTATCTTACGCTGGAAGGATGCAGCTGGTACAAACAGTCTTATTTGATATACAGGCCTTCTGGTTGTAACTATTTCAAATTCCAACGAAGGTACTGACAGCTATAGAGGCACACTGTAGAAGCTACATTTGGTCTGGTTCTAATGTTATTACTAAAAGGGCTCTAATATCATGGGAGAGGATGTGCTCACCTAAATGTGTTGGAGTTATGAACCTGATCAACCTCCAACTATGGAACAAGGCTGCACTTGCTAAAATGTGCTGGGATTTAGAACATAAGCAAGACAAAATGTGGATAAAATGGGTGCATACTTATTATATAAAAGTCCAATCAATCCAATACCTTGTTTTGTCACAACAAGCAAGCTGGATGATCAGAAAGATTGTGGCAGCTCAAACAATTTGGAGAACTATTCAGCAACCTCTTAAGGATGGTCAGAGTATTATACGACAAGTTTACTTGCATCTATTGGAGGTTACGGAAAGAGTTCCATGGAAGAATATGATGTACAAAAATGAAGCAAGACCTAAAGCTATATTCTCCCTATGGCTATATTTACAAGATAGGTTACTCACGAAGGATAGACTCTTGAAATGGGGCGTGAGTATAGAACCTCATTGTGTTTTTTGCAATGCTTGCCTGGAAATTAGAACTCACTTGTTTGTCCCGTGCTCCTTTGCTAGTTCTTTGTGGACTAGAATCTGTTCTTGGCTAAAAAGAACAACAC